CTTACCTGCGGCGGGCGGGGGGTGCGGAGCCTCCCTTGAGTTCCTTATTTTGGGCTTATCAGCGTGTGTCTGATGGAAGCTGGGCTGGGTAATAATGCCAAGGACAGCCTGTACGTCGCTAAGTCCTTCCTAATGGCATCTAACTAATTTCTTAGGGGATGAGGAACATAATGAGAGACCTTAAATCGCGGTGTTCTGCTCCCTGCTCTTGGGCCGTGAAAGCTGCAGCACCCACTTCCACGGGCAGCCGCCCCGCTGGGTGCGCTGTAGGGAATGCAGGTGAAGTCCCCACCTCACACGCTCAAAAATGAAGCCGTTTTGATCACGTCTGCCCACCCCCTAAAAAAAAGGAAAGGGAAAAGCTGTTAAAATATCGTGATGATTCGATATACGCAGTCGCTGTCAACACAAGGTTTGTGACAAGAGGACTTGCACCCGGGACAGGCGCAGACCCCGGGGCTGGGTTACGGGTTCCTTTACCTCTGGCCTAAGGCATCGGCGTTGTGTGAGGCTGCGCCCAGCGGCTGTGGGATGGCACAGGGCAGGCAGGCCCGGGTTTTTGTTTGATTGGGGTTTTCCAACTTTTTCCAAGTTTTGAATTTCTCAAGCCCTTTTATGCTGCAATTTACAAAAGAATACAGGCCTGTGTCCATTTTTTAGGCTATTCCTTAGGGTTCAGGACATTTGAAGATTATTATCTGCTACAAGATTTACTCCATAGTAGAAATAGTTTTCCAATTTTCCTGCAGAAGGTTTAAGTATCTGTGTGAGTGGACTGCCAGTCTCTTTTCCATACGTTGGGTAGAGCTTTCATGTTTGGTAAACAGGTTTAGTAAACCACAGCCAGTTCTTCCCTCGTAGCTTTTCTTCCTTAGCTCTCAGCACTTTTTGTAAAAGGCATGAGGTTTATTAGCTCCACATTATGAATAGAGAAGCTGAGGCACTGAGAACCAATGCAACAAAAGGAACAGCAGAGCAAGAACTGAGCCTGGCTGCTGTGCGGTTGACCTTTTTGGCCATTCACCAAATGATCCAAACTCAACAGTAACCGCGGTTGTGGCAGTAGGGCCCAAGTAAGGGCACTACCCTGCAAATTAATTCAGACGCTGCGAGCCTCAAGTTTTTGCTGGGTCGTAGACCTGCAGCGTGGGGAAGGTAACGAACTGCTTGGTTGTCCACTCTGATTGTACCAAAACCTATTTGTTTAAACATACGGGCTCATTACGCTGATGATAACTTACAGTGGGCAGCCCTCCCTTCTTTCCATTGGACCACCTGACAGAGGGAGGCAGTCTTTAAATAGTTTTTTTTTACTAACTTAAATGAAAAATGTGAAGTAGGTAGTCTTTATGGCCTGTTGAATGCAACGGGTTTTGGTAGCATTCCTAAGGATGATGTTGCTAGCCCAGATTAGTTGAGACTAGCATCAGCTCGTCTGGTAGCCATCCATTCACAGATCTCTCTAAAATTATCTGGTGCCCTGTAGCCAGGCTTATCTCAAATGGAATAGGCTTTCTTCTCAACAATCTTTTCTGCTACTGTGAAAAGTTAGTTCCTCCCAAGCAAACCGTATTACAAAAAAAAAGTATCCCAGAATGGCCCCCTGCACATGCCTAGCTGCTGCTAGTGGGTACTGTGGTGGCATTAAAAAAAAACCCAAACCCAAACCCAAGAAAAACAGAAACAAAAAAACCCCAGTAACCAAAAAAGCCTGTCTTGTTTGTGGTCGTGGCTTACGCCCATCGCCAGGTCTGAAGGCAATGGAAGCAGTGGACAGCCTGATAATAGACGCTGCGGGACAGGCTGGTAATAGCTGTGCCCGGGGCCAGGCTGCTCCTAATCTCCACAGTGCCAAAAGTCCCTCGAAGCCAGCCCTTCCGCCGCTGCCGCCTCTTGCTCTGGTGACGCTCGCACCGCTAATCTGCAGTAGCACATGCTCAGGGGCTGTGCCTGGGAAGCGCTCTCGGGCAGTTAACAGGCTTGAGGTTTCTCAGAGCTGAGGAACGGCAGGCCTGCAAACACAAGCTACAGAGAAACAGGCTTTTCATATGCCAGGTTTGGTATAAGGGCAGACTTGGAGGTTCACAGAAATGCAACTGGGGAGGCGAGGGAAAAGAGACACAAAACCGCCTCCGCTTCACAAAGCGCCTCAGGTACTTTGTGTCATGTGCCATAATTTTTAAGACTATAAGGAAGTGCTTCAGAGGAGGCACATGATTCCAGGGACCTATTTTTAGCAAGAGAAAAACCAATGTTAAGTGATTGCATATTTCTTTCACTTCCCCTTTTTCTTTGTTTGTGAGATGCTCTCAGTGAGTATATTTATTGCTGAAATTATTTTGCCAAATTTTTTTGGACAGTGAATTAGCGTCTTCAGCCTCCTCATGAGTTGTGGCTATTGTAGATTAATACGTTGCATATTTTAAGTAGTATTTATTTAGTGTCAGTAGCTCTCTGACACATTGTGTGAATGCAGCTCCCATTCAGAATGCAAGCAATTGAATCCACAACTCAGAACTGCACTATTACTTTTAGCTAAGCATAGTTGGAGAAAACAAATATGACATGTGCATATTTGCACAAAAATAAAATGAAATTTGCTTTCAAAGTCAATGTCCAAATAACCTTTCCAGAATTTTGTCTTAGGAAATTGTAGAAGATGTCCACTGCCGTTGTAGAAAATATCTACAACGTGGCAATGGAACGTAACTGTTAGGTTGTCTTGCTGAGTAAACTAAACTGTTTAGAGAATACTTATTTTTTGGAAAATGATAAAACTATTGGGTTTTAAGGAAACAAAACCAATCTACCTGAATTTAAAGTCTTGCTTTTATTGCTCCCTACTGAGGACGGCTCATAGCTTGGCAGAGGATGACAGAATGTTTGCTAGCTACTTTTTTGCGATGCACTTCTGGTGCTAAACTTTGTCTTAGGAACAGTTGTCTGTCCCTCCGTTGGCTGGTGGAAGAAGTGGGAGTCATCTGCGGTGGGGAAGTCTGGAATGAGCTGATTTTTCTTTTGGAACAATATGGAAGCTCAGAGATTCCTTATCTCTAGCAACCCATAAAGTGGTAAAGTAGTTTCAATGAGTCAAGTCCTTCCACTGTCGTCTTCTTATACAAAATAATTTAAGGTGCTTTCCTAATTACAGTTCCTTTTCCTGTCCTTAAAAGGAACACTTGCAAAGCACTGACAGTCATCTGACATAATAAAACTACTGTAAGGTTCCAGAAGAGAGTCCATTCTGGGTTTCTGTTGCTCAGTGATATTAGTCCTGTTTATCAGCAGGCAACACGACCGTGTCATGTTTTGCTCAGCCTTGCATCGTTTTCTTCAATGCAGTGAAACATTTCACACAGTGAACATCATTACAGTTAACTTCAGTGGAACTGGGTTTTCACCTCTCGCATTTTCCTGGCAAGTTCTGAAATACTACATCTCAGATATAAGAAAATAAGAAATATTAGAAATGCTGTATTTCTTAATGGCAGGGAAGGAAGAGAGAGAGAGAGAAAGAGAGAGCGAGCATCTGTGCAAGTTAGTCACAAGTCGATTCAGATTTTAGATTGCCTGAAATTGATGGATTCTTATTAAATGTTTAAGGAACATGTATCACTGAGAGTGAAGTGTTATATTTTTGTTTTACAAAGTATTTTTTTTGTTTCTGATCCTGTCCCCCTCCTTCATGCCTTTAGACACTGAGAATGTTGCTTATTGCTGAACTGCCAGCTTGCCTGGCGATGCGCTGAGTGCCGTAGCAGGATGTGGAGTGAATGCAGCAGGAAGCTCCTGCTCAACAGTTGTCATTGTTTTTGTTATGGATGTTGTCCTGTATGACTCATATGATGTTAAAATTGAAATTATGTGGCAGAAGCACAGGTACCTAGTAAATTAAGATTGCTCATTTTTGGCTGTAATCTCTATATATGCGTATATATTTGTATATATATTATGTGTAAAATAATGAAACACAAATACAATGTGCACAGATATTTACGGATCACAGTTTGCTGCACAGAGAACTGGAATTAATTGTAAGGGGGTGCGTGTGACAATTTTCTTTTCCAAGCCACTCAGTAATGTACCTGTGCTCTTGTACCCTGTACACAGGCAGTGAACAGGCACTTTGCCTCCTTGTGAAATGCTTTGATGAGCAGCCCAGAGTTGCTGGCTACTCCCCTTGCTGGCTGAGTGACAGTCCCACTAGTATAAAAAGGCCCCTTGGGGCGGACTGCGCTGTGTAGCTGATACAGCAGCAGAAAGAGGGCTTGTTCTGGGGACTGCAACTAGAAAACCTGGAATAGGTTGTAGCCACCAACAGGTCTAAGCTACACAAAATGCGTGAAATTGTGCATCTTCAGATTGGCCAGTGTGGGAACCAAATTGGAGCGAAGGTAAGGTCTCCTTTCAATATTGGTCATTAGTAGTAAGTGCTATCAGTGGTAGCAGGTCAAACATCGTTAACGGATGGGGTCTTTCGGGGGGAACAATTACTTTGTTAACTCAATGGTAGGATGCATGGCATGTTAGCAGCGAATATGAGTATTTTGATGTGAAAGTCATAAGGTGGGCTTGCTCCTTAGGCAAAGGTCAATGTTAAGACTATCAAAGAATGAAACATCTGCGAGAACTATGGCACAGTGATTTTAAGGGCTCCAGA